GGAAACCACACAATCCATTGAGAGAGAGAGAGAGAGAGAGAGAGAGAGAGAGAGAGAGAGATCCAGCTACCTGAAAGTTCACACAGGATTGTGCACAAGAAGCATGAGTGGTGGGAGCTGTGTAAAGGCAGAACCAGCTGGTGTAGGGCAGGTAAGTCCAGGGGCATGTGGAGCCCAGATGCCTCTGGAGTTTGGGGAGAGTAGAGTTTGTTGCAGAGAGGGGAACAACAATTCCCAAACGCCCTGAGAGGCATAGGGAAAAAGAGAAAACCTAGCCAGCTGGGAGGTGACTGTGGCCCTAACCCCACATGGAACTCTTGACTGTGCCAGTGACTGCAAAGCCACAGGCAAGTGGATTTTTCTTGAATTCCTGCTCCATGTTGGGTGCCAAAACGTAGCACTAGTTCTAATAGGTCTCAAAAAAAAAAAAAAAATCAGATATGGGCTAAATGTTCAAAGAATAGAGATAAAGGAGCAAACCACAGTCACATCTCACCTCCTCAAATTCCCAGCTGAAAAGACTGAACTTCTGTCTCCTCCCACCTTATCACTTGACCTCTCTGGCCAGCTAGATCACTTCCTGTCTGTACAGACCTCCAGACCTCTTTGGTTAACTAGTGGCCATCTCTGTCCTGTGATCTCCAAGCAAGCTTTGTTAGAGCGTGAACAGGAAATCACTAGAGTGGTGTCTGCCGCACAGGCGGAGGTAAGGCGCATTAGGAGTCAACACGGGAGAAGCATGGTTTGGCTCAGTCGTCATAAATATCATGGTTGGAGTATGGGAGGAAAGAATACGCAGTTTTGTCATGGTCCTTCTGAAGCTGAGAGACCTGCTGCTTTCCCTCATGGGGAGCAGGAGAGACATGAGCATGAGACAAAGTCCCTGAGGCTTAGGGGGTAGGAGGAGTGGAGCTGGAGGTGAGGGGGGTTGGAGGAGGGGCGGAGGGAGAGGGTCTAGCTATGACCAGCTGACACCTAGCTGTGCCTACCAAGGACAGTCATGAAATCCCTATGGGAAGATTTCCCAAATTAAAAGGAATCTTCTCCATTTTGATAGCTAAATTGTCTCAAGGCCTCACTATCCTGAGATTCCTAAATGAGCACCCTAGCAAAAAAAAAAACAAAAAACAAAAAACAGGCAAACAAAACCAAACCAGTGAGCTAAAGGTTTTGAAGGGGGGGAGGAAAAATGAAGATGAGGGTGTAATGATTTCACTAGACCCAAGATAAATGAAAAATGGGTGTTAACTGGGGACAATTACACAGAAAATAGTAAAGAACCACAGGAGTGCTTCTCTGCCCTTCCTGTCAGCACTGAAGCTTCCCCTACCAACTTCTCCAGATACCCGAATTCTTTCTCTGGGACAGCTAGTGTTTCCACAGAGAGCACTGAAGGTTCATGACTGCTAAAAAAACCTTGGAGATACTAAAGACAGGAACAGCTTGGTTCTCTCCAGCACCAAGCAGGGTTAGGACGATGGAAGGTGAGGGGGAGTTTTTCTTGGCAGTGGGAGGGAGCTGAGAGTAAAACCATGCAGGTACTGAAGAGACCATTTGGGTTCACGCTCTAGCTAAGCAAATAAAATGCATGGCAAAGTGAAGATTGTGGCTCCATCTGTCCTTTGAGCAGAGTGACAGACAGCCCATAGCACTTGGAGAGGATCCTGGGCTGTCCTGAAATCCAGGCTAGTATGCAGTTCTCATATGCAGGGAGTCCCTGACTGCCAGCTGCCCATGTGCCTGGGGTCTTAACTTAACCTTGTGTGCAGGGAATCGTCGGTTTAGTCTTGCAGGTTCTGTACCTGGGTGAGCTCTATGAACCTCAGTTAAATCCATGGTGTTTTTCTTGGAGTAACTGTTTCCCCTCCTTAACGCCCCCAACGGCTTTCTGCTAGAAATTAAGCTCAGGGCTGCTGCTAACCAAGGGTTCTGCCTGTGAACTGTGTCCCCAGCCAGCAGTTATTTAACTTCCGTAGATTCAGTGTCCAACACCTGGTGACAGATGACAATAAAACAGCCTGTATTGTAATTTTTTTATTTTTTATTTTTGCATTGTTTTGTTAAGAGCAGTCTTAACCACTGAGCCATCTCTCCAGCCCCCGCCCCCCAAGCCAGCTATTCTAATTATCCCATTTCTGTTTAACTACCTCTTCATCTGGGCTTTTTACCTTTCTTTATTCTATGTCTTCCTATCCTTATTCCATGGCTGGCTGTGTGGCTGGCACTTGGGGTTACTCCTCTCCTTTTCTCATCCCTCCTTCTCTTGAGCCTAGATTTCTCCCTGCCTGGCAGCCCCGCATATCCTCTCTTCTGCCTAGCTATTATCCATTCTGCTCTTTATTAGACCAATCAGGTGTTTTATGAAGGCAAAGTCACACAGCTTTACAAAGTTAAACAAATGCAGCATAAAAGAATACAATGTCTTCGCATCATTCAACAGAAACTCCACAGCACAAATGAATGTAACTCATCTTTAACATTCCACAACACCGCACGTGGCTCATGCCTGGCAATAGTCACAATTCATCGATTGCTTCCACCCCTTCTTCCTATTTCAGTGCTTTCCAGTTACCTCTTCTCAGCATTAACCTGTTCTAGTTTGCTATCTAGGGTGCCTAGGAATTGGAGAGAACTTACAGGTTCCAGCAAATGCCTCAATGTCTGCACACAAGATCCAACCTGAGACTCCCTTACCCTCCCATCCATAGAGCTGGGAAAAGTTCTATCAGTAAGTACTTGGGAACCTTCCCAACTTCCACCTCACCCAGTCCTGGTCAGAATATCCCTTAAGAGATGTTCTGTCTGAGACATCTTACCCCCCAGAGAACCTGTGTTCCTGTTGGGTTTTGTACAGGCAGAAAGGTAGGAAGTTGGTGAGAGATGCCCTGTGTACAGAAAGGGAGCTGGTGAGAGATGCCCCGTATACAGGGGATGGTTAGAGATGACTTTTGTTCAACTGCTTTTCTCTGAGAAAATCTAGGCCTCACCCCCGAGGTGCCTGCCTATGAGACACTTGGATTCTAACTATAATTGCCTCACCCATGGAGGGATCTACCAAGGAATGAAATCCCTATGCAAAGAATCCTCCCTCTTAAGAGTTCTTACCAATTTTGATAACTAAGGCCGCCTTGATGCCCAGGTTCCTAAACGACCACTGCCAAATCAACCCTTTTGGGGATTTTGACTCCTTCACGTGAGGTGTTTTCCCTGTCTCAATTCAAAGAAAGCAAAGTGGATTTAAGAGGCTTCACTGGTCACCATGACCAGTTATGTCCAAACATTTGAATCTATGATGCAGTTGTATAATCTAGCCAACAAAGGCACGATGTTAACTGTGGACCAGCAACCCCTAGGCAGAACAGGGCCTTCCTCACTCTGCATCAGGACCAGTACCCTGGGCAAGTGGACTTCTAAAAGTCTGGTCGTCCAGAGGGCAAAGTGGCTGGACACTCATCTGTCGCTCATCTTGCCTCACCCCTTTTCATGTCCTGGGGCTGTGTGCACCCCATGCCAGCTCCACTAACTCACGTGACTGCCTTCCCTGCACCACCCCTAAGACACTTGGCTTACCTTTGTCAGGACTGAGAAAACATTAACACACAACACTAAGGAATGGCATTTTCGGGCCTCAGCCCACGTGAACAATGCCCTTTATTCAGTAAGAGAAGGGGAGGGTGGCTTGTCAGATGGAGATGGCTGAACAGATCATGGTCTGCCCTCTGCTCTGGTGGTCTGAGCAGTGAGACGGAATGTTTGAGGGAGTAGAGCTTATTTTCTGGGTTCAAAACAGAGCTGACAACTACTGCAGAGTGAGGGCTATTTCTCTACAGTCAAGAATGCCCTGGTGACAAAGGGACTCTAAAAGTAGTCACATCGAGAGTCTAGTGACCCTCTCGCGTTGCTTCTGAGACCATGGTATGTGTGGTGGCATTGGGGGCTGAATAGAAGAGATGCCCCAGGCTTCAGGAAGGAGCAGCAGCCAAACAAGAGAGATCCACCTCCTCCTGGAGACACAGTCAACACGACCTGAATGTGGAGACCCTGTGGACAGCAGGGCCCTGAAAGAGGTTCCAGGCCATGTTCCTTCAGGGTGAACTGGATTTGTCCTGGTGGCTTCTCAACAATGGAATTCACTGCCTCTGGAAAGCTGATGTAGTCTTTACAGTCTGCATATGCTTTTGACAATCTTAGGCTAAGCAAAAGAACAGCCTATGGCAGACAGGGTTGTGCCTTCTCCCGATGGAACTGCAGGGAGAGAAAGGCCATGAGCAGCCCTGTTTCAGGCTGGGGAAGTCTGGGGCACAGGGAACAAGCCTAACCTTCCGCAAAGCAGCAAAGGCAGGCCCAAAGGTGGCTTTGACTTCCACACGGTCTCGTATCCATGCTGGCAGCTTCGCCAGGACAGGAGGGCGGGCATACCGATGATCCAGAAACACAATGCTGGCGAAGTCTCTCTGGTGCCTAATGGCCCTGCCTGCACAGATACACAGGTTAGGACTCTTGAGTCCATCGTGCTGACCAATGCTGCATGTCCATTGGGGCCCCTCTCCTCTCCTCCAGTGGACAAAACAGCAAGCAGTAACCTCCCTCCTTCCTGGACCCATCCATCCGCCCCAGCAGCAGCCCCAGACTTACCTATGGATTGGTTTACAGCCTTCATACACAGATTCTCCACCAACACCTTCCCTGGGGGGGCCTGACCTTGTGTCCTAGGCTAAGAAAAAAAGAAACAGAAAAGGGCAGATCAGAATGTACTCTTCCTGCCTGGTACCCAGGGCTGGCTTTACAGCAAGGTCAGGTTTCATGGGTCTGAGCCAATACCCCGTGCTCCAGGATATTTCATAGAGAAGATCAAGGCCTCTGGGAGGGTTGAAAGCATCTGCACAGTATGCTGATGCTGTCACTATGCAGGTCCTTGCCATCCACTCTGGTCCTGGCCCTTTCCTTTCATCTGAAAACACCACAGATACTCACCAGGGTCTGATCCAAGTAAGCCATCTTCTCTTGCAGCTCTGGAGACTTAATGTTGGGGTACGGCATCCCCACCATCACCACACACCTGTCGTGGGTTACATGGCCCATGGCGTAAGTGAGCAAACAGCCATGGGGCCATCATCCACATGAGAGCAACTGACTGCTATTCTGAACCAACAACTGTGTGTGATTGCAAGTCATGGCTGCCCACTTCTCTGCTCTACTAAGCCGGATGGAATGGGTTTCAAACACTCCACCCACAGCCTACAGACCCCAAGCAGGCCACAGCATGACTTGGCAGGCGTCAGTCCCAGCAGACAAGAGGACACCATACCTACTGGCCCAGGTCATCAGAGAGGTTGATCCCTTCCCTCATTGTCCCTGGCCCAGGTCATCAGAGAAGTTAATCCCTTCACTCATCTTCCCTGCAACCACAGAGAGGAGCAAGGCCCCTGTCAGATGGCCTCCTGCCTGACCGCAGCACTGTGGGGGAGAGCCACACCAGAGTTGCTGAGCCAAACCCAGGAGCCTCACATCTGTTCCTAGCTGCCAGGCACAGAGGGCTTCTGGATCCAGCCTCACTTCCTCTCACCATAATGCACTTGGAATACGCCATCAGCACCTGCTCCACCTGGCTTGCTCTCTTGGGCTCCTGGAATAGCTGAAGGAAAAAGGCCTCTCAGTAAAAGGCTTCAAAAGACTGAGTCTTGAGCCTCAGTCTGGGTTTTGAAGCCTCAGGATGGAACATGGAATCAAACTTTGGGGATTCCCCATGGCCAGTATCCCAGGCCCAGACTTGGTAGATTTAGGAGGTGGGACAATCTGGACCATGCCAAGGCCACAAGATTGAGGGACCCTAGGAAGAGCTGCAAGCAGCAATGTCCTTATAAACAGGGTAAGGGGCACTCACCTTTTTCTTGACGGACAAGCGTGCCAGCAGGCCAGTCTTGTCCCAGTGCGCATGTATCTGGCGCAGGTACTCATAGGAAGGGAAGAAGCACACCACCCCTCCAGGGACCACGTTACACAGGTTACAGAGGACGCGGCCTGTCTCCTCCATCTGCAGAAGACAAAGAGCTAGCCAGGGACAGGTCCCCTTCTACAGAGTGGAATGCACCACTCTCTTAACAGACATGCCCAGCTGGGACTTCTGGTGACTGCTTGCCTTTATGATATATCCTGTCACAGGTAACCCAGGAAGAACTAGACTTTTGGTAAGCCACTGAAATTGAGGGGCACTATCCAGAACAAATTAACACTGAGATGCCATGAGAACTGTGCCCAAGAAATGCATCATTCCTGGGATAGAGGCAAGGAGCAAGAGCACCCCAAGTGGCCAACCTTCTTCCATTCTGCATTAATGGGATGCTAGGAGCTCTTTAGAAAACATTTAGTAGTCTATGGAGAGAAAGACAGCCAAATCTTCCAATCTATTTGTGCCAGGTGCGACCATCTGCCCTGCCCCAGTGCCACTGCTGGTAAGAATTCTCCCCTGAACACACACTAGAGAGAAGGGGACATAGGCTGGCACTAACCATCTGAGGCAGATCTCTTCTCTGGTAGGTGAATTCCAGTTGTTGGTTAGAGGGCCCGCTGCATATAATAAGGGGCAAGATGTTGTCTGGAGGGATCACATGACCTAGCAATACCAAAAAACAGGGCCGAAAAGCAGTGTCCAGGTAGGTAGGGCAGTTTCTCAAATCATTTCCCCAATAGGAGCATTAATTTGAAATGCACATGGCTTCTCTCTACACCAACACACCCAATGTAAGTGATGTGGTGAGGAGAGCATAGAACTTTAGACTCTGGGATAGTGTTCTGGTGAGCAAACTCACTAAGAATAAAGTTCCAGTCCAATGGTGTCCTCTGCTTTTGGCCAAGGGTCACTAAATCAAGGCCTCAGAGTTCTTGGCCCATTGTACCCTCCACATAGTTCCTTACCACAAGAGAACTCCACCACCCGCTCAGCTTCCACTCCAGAACATGCCAGCAGCTGATCCCGAAAGTCAGACACCTGCAGCCATAACATCAGGGCCTCGTGACCTCAGAGCTTGGGGGCTCTGTGCTCTGCAGTGCAGTAAGAAGAGAAGTGTGGAATAGGGGGCAGCAAAGCCCCCACAACAGAGAGAAGAGGAAGGAGCTACAACCATTAGGACCAGCATCCACTGCTGACAAGACACACTGGGATCAAAATCAACAGCATACAAAACTATACTACACAAAGAATTCAGAAAATGAAATGATAAATCAAACAACCCAGTCAGGAAATAGAACAACAAAATGAAGAGTTCTCAAAACAGGAAAATGGAATGGCCAATAAACGTATGAATAAAATGTTCAACCTTATTAGCTACCAGAGAAATGAAAACCAAACTACATTAAGATTCCTCCCTTGGGCTGGAGAGATGGCTCAGAGGTTAAGAGCACTGACTGCTCTTCCAGAGGTCCTGCGTTCAAGTCCCAGCAACCACATGGTGGCTCACAACCATCCCTTATGAGATCTGGTGTCCTCTTCTGGTGTGCAGATACACATGTAAGCAGAATGTTGTATACATAATAAATAAATCTTTAAAAAAAAAAAGATTCCTCCCTTATCCTAACCAAATGACAGTCAAGAAAACAGAGCACTCAAAAGTTTAAGGATCATCAGGAAGAGGGGAAGGGGGAAGAAAGGCTGTGAGACTCAAGAGGTGGTAGATAAACATCAAGAGAACTGTGTTTCAGGATTCAACAAGGCAGGTTAAATCTGTCACAGCGATATCACTGAGACCACAGCAAGCTCAAGCCAGGCAGAATCCCAGCACTTGGGAGGCAGAAGGAGGTGGATCTGTGAGTCCGAAGCCAGCCTGATCTACAGAGTGAGTTCCAGGACAGCCAGTGCTACACAATGAAACTCTGTCTCAGAAAAAAAAAAAAAAAAAAAAAAAAAAAGGAAACAAAAAAAAAAAAAAAACGGGGGACAAAAAAAAAAGCAAAAAAT